GTGGATACATCAACCGTGGCTCATAGATGGCTCAGGAAATCCTGTAAATTTCACAAGAATTTTTTTCCGTGTATATATATATGTTGTTTACAAGGAATTCTCTCTGCTCCTTCACACTGAGAAAACTGGATAGCCAAAGTTAGAGGGTTAGGTTTTAAGTGTTAGCCTGATTCTCTAGATAGATAACTTTTTCCTCCGAGATAGTCAACTTGATCATCAAAGTATCTATTTATCCCTCCGAGATGGTTACAAAACATTTAACCTTAAATATAGTCTGTTTGTCCCTCCAGATAGTCTGTTGAATACTCCATTTTTCTCTGTGCATTATTGAAAAAGTTAAGATTAACTTTTAGGAAGTTAAAGTTAACTACTGGAAAAGTTAAAGTTAACATTTATAAAAGTTAAAGCTAACATTTGGAAAAGTTTAAACTAACATTTGAAGAAGTTAACCATTTATCAAATCTAGTAAAGCCTTACAATGTGGCTGAAATCATGTGATCAATTCACTGAGTCAGAATGCCAGACTGCTAGTGCAGAAGCTTATGACTGTAACCGTTTTTAAAGAATTCTGTATAAGCATGAACTGTAGATGCAAATGTGTCATTAATCAATTTCTTTCCAACAACTCATATAGAAGATTTTAGATGGCAACTGTCACATTAGTAGACAGAGTGTTAAAGTTAACATTTGGAAAAGTTGAATTTACTTTGTAGAAAATTCAAGTCAACTTTAAGAAACGTTTTATATATATATATATATATATATATATATATATATATATATATATATATATAACTTTTTTACATTAATATTTTTAAACTTAATAAGATGTATTCTTGTGACAGTGGAAGTCTTCATGCAAATATTCACTGATCTTTACATGAATAATGACGTTGCCTGAAGAATCAACTTCATATTGCCTTGTTATACATGACCGTGTAGTATAGTACGAACCAATCATTGGGATTATTAATAAGTTATAAGAAGTGGAGAGGGAAACAAAGTGGTGTGGAGGATGAAGTGGAGACGTATGTAAGACAAATTTCTGAAGCAGATACTCATTTCTATTCTAAAATGGAGTTCATAGTAGACGTTCAAGGTTTTAAAAAACCCTGCAATGAGTTTATTTTCAAAGAGTTGGCTATAGTGCCTCTGGAGTCAGATGCTCAACCAAGAGTTTACCTTTTTGAACCACCTTGTGCTTGGAATTCACTACCAGGACGTTATAAAAGTAAGAACCTGTGGTTGACGAATAATTATCATTTAATACCTTGGATGGCTGGAGATGTGTGCTACGATGAAGTTCGAACCATTTTACAAGATGCTTTACGAGGAGCAAAAACTATCTACGTTAAAGGTTGTGAAAAAAAGCAGTGGTTAGAAAAGTATTTAATGATTGTACACAATTTAGAAAAAATTGACTGTCCAGCGTTTAAGAATATTAAAACTGAATTATTACCACTTATATGTACACATCATATTGCACAAACTGAAAATTGTGCAGTAAACAATGTATTTAAGCTTCGAAATTGGTTTTTGAATGTTACAAGTGAATTGAGAAACTTTTCATATGGTATCGATGAAGTGGATGATGTGAATACTAATTTAAAATCATATTGTGAAAATTATGAAACACTATTGTAATAAGTTTTAATTTTCTATATACATATGAATAAATGAAATTTATAATTTTAAAAATGTTGGTTATCTTTCTTGATATACCTACTCCTTTAATATTATATACTTTAAATTTTTTTTTCCTTTAACTTTAATAAAAATTTACTTATACAATTTTATACAAAATTCAATTAATTTAAAAATTATTTGAAATATGAAGGTGAGGTAATAAAAGAATTAATTTAAAAGTAATTTTTTTATTATCTAAAACCTTTAAATATTTACATAATTTTTTACAATATAACCTTAGAATATATATTTTATTCAAATTCAATAACATTAAATTTGCCACCAATATATTTTAATCGCAACTTTTCCGATTGCACGGCTTCTTCCATCATTGTGAAGGAGGTAGGGTCAGCTTCAAATAGTTTTCGAACCTTGCCGGCAGAAAAGTGGTAAATGCAGCATCCAGGTCTACTACAATCCTAGAACCATATTTCGTCTGCACCTTGTTTATTTTAGTTACATTGTATGACTCATTAACAGTCAACTCAGAAAGTGGCTTCGTTGGTAGAAAGCTCTCCATACGATCAATGGCGTTGACTTTTTGGAACTCCATTGTTTTAATATCTGTAAGCAAAAAAAAAGATGGATTTTTTAATATTAAATTTGAAAAAGAAAAAAAAATTTGGAATATAAAATGTTTTAATTAAAGAAATGAAATTTACCTACCAAATGAGTAAATGATGATGTAGTTGTTAAAGCTGCTAGTACTGCTAATGTTGATGTAGATGCTGAAGCTGCTGGTACTGCTAAAGCTGCAAGAAATTTTAACAGAAGTTTCGAATCGTTGATTCCAACCTACCTTATATCCCGTAAACCCCACTCTTCTTCAACTCCCACTCTTTTACCCCCACTTTAATGACTGCGCACGCAACTACCTCAAAAGAAGAGTCATTTAGAAGACGTGTTCAAACTCGCATGAAAATGACGTCACTAAAAGGTTTCTTAAGGAATGTCTTTGTTATTATCTACAGGCATGTTAAAACCTGTCTGAAGGTTTTTTAGACAATGTCTTTATTCTATTCAAGATGCAGGTTGAAACATGCTTTAAAATTTTCAAACAATACTATTGTTATCTTGAAAAAAGGCAAGTTGAAACTTGCTTACATATTTTTGGACAATACATTTTTATCCCTATGGTGTTATAGTATTAGTGAAGCAAGCTGTGAGAGTCAGACAGACAGGTCTGACGCATGGAACTTTCACTCACTCAACGCGGTAACCGTACGCGCACTTTTGCTGCGCACTGGGCCTTACCACCACCCACCACCACCCACTCCCACTACCCACAACGCCTGCGCGGTATCTCGCGAACGCTTAATCCCTCGCGCTTCTCTATACGATTTTTGAAATTTCTGGTTTATACTAAGTGGGTGGTGGTGGTGGGTGGTAATATTGGAAATATATATATAAAGGAAAAAAGTGGGTGGGAGGGAGGGGGTGGTTAACTAAGAGCAATAGAAGAGGGTGGGTGGTATTTGCATATTCTACGTCCAAAAGGGTGGATAGTGGGAGGAATTTCCATAAACTAAAAGGGTTTACAATGAAAGTTAAATAATAAACAATAGAAAACGTATGCAAATTAAAAGGGTTAACTAATTTACATATGCAAATCAGATACCCCACCAACGATCTGTAACTTTTCTATATATTTAAATATATGCAAATTAAAAGGGTTAACTAATTTAAATATATGCAAATCAGGTACCCTACCAACGCTCAGTAACTTTGCCACATATTTAAATATATGCAAATTAAAAGGGTTAACTAATTTGAATATATGCAAATCAGGTACCCCACTAACGTCAATTAAAAGGGTTAACTAATTTAAATATATGCAAATTAGATACCCCACTAACGTCAATTAAAAGGGTTAACTAATTTAAATATATGCAAATGAGGTACCCCACCAACGGCCGGTAAATTACCTACATATACCCCACCAACGGTCGGTAACTTACCCTCTCGGTCGGTAAGTAGGAATCTACATTACCGATTTTATCCAGAACCGGCCTAGCTATACTACTTACGAGTTAAAACGCACCGTGAGTCTTTGTGTTAGGGTAGAATGGAAAGGGAAAGTTTGGCGCTATGGTTGGGGGGATCTGAGTCTCCAGTCTGGTCACACTGATCCACCCCGGTGACATTGCTCATTTTTTCCATTGTATGAAAAGACATGAGAGCTGAAAGTGTCCACCAGCTGGCGCCAACTATGCACGGGCCCTGTTTCAATTAAAATGCATGGGATATTGCAAAAAAATTAAATTTTCACTAATTAAAATTAATTAAATCGTATTTCTTTGTACACAATATTAATATAGAAACTTTTTAACATATTTTTTGATAGTTATTGCCTTATAAAAGAGTAGAATATTTAATTTATAACGAAATTTTCATCTCAGTTTTAAGCGGGAATTTCAAAAAAATTTTAATTATTATTATTATTTATTATAAATTTTTCTATTTCTTATCTACTCAATATAGTTTTGAAATATTAATAGTAGTAAATTAAAAAATAATTATAAATAATTATAAAAACTTACATATTTTTGAAAATCCCGCCAAAAATTTAGGTAGAAATTTCGTTCAATATGATTGAATTAATTTCAGTTAAAGAAAATACAATTTTTATGAATTATCCCATGTATTTTAATTGAATCAGGGCCTGTGCATAGCTGGCGCCATCGGTGTCAACTTTCAACAGTTGGTACACTTTCAACTCATCAATGCCATCGGGGTGCACTGATCTAACGCTGGGTCAAATCATACCTAACAAATCAAAGTTGTCCCTACACTGAGAAAAAAGAGGGCGCGTTGCAGCACATTTTCGATTCATGTTGCGCGACTCAACCCTGTGTTCTGCTAGACACTTTTCTGGGGCGTGCAGCGGACCCCTGAGTCGAGGCGAGCTGTATTTGAAGCGTATTACACGCTCTTTGGGGCGTGCTGCACGCCCCAGAAAGTGTGTAGAAGAATTCAGGGTTGAGTCGCGCAACATGAATCGAAAATGTGCTGTGACGTGCCCTCTTTTTTCTCAGTGTAAGTTCTCCGATTTTTGTGAAACTTTGAGAAATTGTAGGGGAATAAATGCAAATAAAAATTCCAAAAAAGATTTTCGAAAATTTTAAAAATTTGTGGTTGTTCAGGGTTTTCAAATTTTTTTTTTAAATTTTGAAAACGCAATATCTCAGAGACATATACAGTCAGGTCTCGCCAAGTGTCGTTTTCAGTAAGTGTCATGACTCACAAAGTGTCATCGTTCAAGACCCGACAAGTGTCACTTTCCCCACTTTTTTTTACCCTCTCCAATGCTAAAAATGGACTACCCAAAACCGGTTTGCAACATAAACCAATGAAATGACCACTTTTATTAAAGGGGCGTGGCTTAGGCCACTGACACTTACTGAGACAGACGGTCCCAAAAGATTCCCAGTTACGACACTTAGCGAGACCTGACTGTAAATAGATTTTAATGATTTTTTTAGGGATTACTTATTATTTACAAACAATTAAAATAAAAAAAATTGCAAAAAAAATTTTTTTTGTTTTAAATAAAAAATTTAAAAAATATTGTTTAAACAAATTTTTTGTTTCTAAGCGTGTCTTTAATTCTTTTCTAATAGCGATGTTTTGATTCCTTAGGATTTCACAAGTATTTTGACATAAAGAAATCGATGAAGACTCTTAAACTTTCGGAGATATTGTATTTTTTGTCTTTGCGCGCAGGGCCAAAAAGCGCACTGAAGCAAAGGCTCTGTGTACAAGGTAACGGTCAAAATTACTTAATACTTGCGTAAATTTTAAACAAAATGAATTCTTTCTTTTTTAAATCAATTAGTAACATTTTATTAATAAATAAATAATAAATGAATAATATTTAAATAATAAATAATTAAATAAAAAATAAAACTAGTAAATTTCAATCGAATTGAATTCTTTCTTTTTTAAATCAATTAGTAATATTTTATGAATAAATAAATAATAAGTTATTAATATATAACCAAATTAATGTAAATTAAAAAACAATAAAAAATTAAGAAATATCTCAAATAAGTTCCTAGTAGATTATTTGACTAATTTTTAACTACTCTGATTTGTTCAACAAGTCCTACATTAAATTAAAAAACTTGTATTTATCATCAAAAAGTAGTTAAAATAAATCAAATAAATAGAAAAAATCGAGTAATTCTTTATATGAAGAGCGCGCATGCGTAGACTCGACTCGGATAACTTTGTTCAGTCTCGTGACGCGACTGCGCGTCCGGAAAAGTAGATTCGTCAAAGATATGCTTCTAAGAGTCTCATTTTTAAATCAGCATTCGTTCGAGCTCCCTCCATGTTTGTAACAAGTGATAATTGTAGAACTAGGTGTTTTTAATAGTCTTTTTCGTAGTTAAAAAGAAATTATAAATTTAAACCTAAGGAAAAAATTAAAAAGAAACGCAAAGAAACTTATTTACATTTACTTAAACCTAAAAAAACAGAAAACTCAAATCAAACAAACAAACCTTAAACTACAAAAATGACACTGAAAAACATGCAATAAAACCTGAAACTATGAAAAAGACTATTAAAAAGACCTAGTTCTACAATTATCACTTGCTACAAACATGGAGGGTGCTCGAACGAATGCTGATTTAGAAATGAGACTCTTAGAACCCCCTCTTTGACAAATCCACTCTTCCGGACGCGCAGTCACGTTACAAGACTGAACGAAGTTATCCGAGTCGAGTCTACGCATGCGCGCTCTTCATATAAAGAATTACTCGATTCGCGAACTAGGTCTTCGCCTTATGTAAACGAATAAAATGTTACTTTTCCATTATATATTACTTTTTTATTTTTCTATTTATCTGATTTATTTTAACTACTTTTTTATGATTAAAACAGGTTTTTTAATTTCATGTAGGACTTGTTGAACAAATCAAAGTAGTTAAAAAGTAGTCAAATAATCTACTAGGAACTGTTTTTTAATTTACATTAATTTGTTTATTTTATTTTACGCAGACAAATTATTTGTTTATTTATTAATAACTTATTATTTATTTATTCATAAAATATTACTAATTGATTTAAAAAAAAAAGAATTCAATTCGATTAAAATTTACGAGTTTTATTTTTTATTTAACTATTTATTATTTAAATATTATTCATTTATTATTTATTTATTAATAAAATGTTACTAATTGATTTAAAAAAGAAAGAATTCAATTCGTTTGAAATTTACGCGAGTATTAGGTAATTTTGACCGTTACCTTGTTGTAATTTCATTTATTATTTATTTATGAATAAATTGTTACTAATTGATTTAAAAAAGAAAGAATTCAATTCGTTTGAAATTTACGCAAGTATTAGGTAATTTTGACCGTTACCTTGTACACAGAGCCTTTGCTTCAGTGCGCTTTTTGGCCCTGCGCGCAAAAATTTTTTTGCAATTTTTTTCATTTTAATTGTTTGTAAATAATAAGTCATCCCTGAAAAAATCATTAAAATCCATTTATATGTCTCTGAGATATTGCGTTTTCAAAATTTAAAAAAAAAATTTTAAAACCCTGAACAACCACAAATTTTCAAAATTTTCGAAAATCTTTTTTGGAATTTTTATTCACATGTATTCCCCTACAATTTCTCAAAGATTCACAAAAATCGGAGAACTGAGGGACAACTTTGATTTGTTAGGTATGATTTGACCCCGCTAGTATTTTCTCCCTCTATTAAGGAAGAATAATATAAGAACTTCTTCGTTTAACATTGTTTATCTTTTTATTCACAATTACAACTACCATAAGAATATCTTCGTCTGAAAATCTTACTGTTCTTTACTTCGTCTTCCAATAAAACTGACATAAGACTATCTCTATTCAAATTATAACCACGAATTTCTTTCTCTTTTCAAAACAAAATGCATAAGAATGTCTTACTTTACATAATTTGCATATCTACTCGTTTCTAAATAAGTATTAGAAATTAATATTATTAATTATGATATTATTTATATTATATATTTGTATTATAATTATTGTTATTAATTAACTATTATATTACCATTATGATAAATCTCTTAGCACCCAGAGTGTTTACCGATCGCTGTGCATTCAAGAGACAAGTACCTCAGTCGTTTTGGAGTTACATGTTTGGAATTTTTAAGAAATGGTCCTGCTCCCAGAGAAAATTGCGAATTTGGCCCAAGAGAGCAATTTTCTCAAGTGACAAGTTTCCTAGATGCATCCACAATTTATGGAAGTAACGTCGTACATAGCGATAGTTTACGAATTTTTAGAGATGGTAATAAAAATTCATTAATAAATAACTACCCCCTAACAACATCTGGATATTCAGGATATCTTAAGAACATCCTAGAGATATCAAAATTTCCGGATGTGACTAGGACGTCCGTAGGATACCCTTGAATATCCGTTGCTACTAGGGACAAATATTATAAAAATTTAGTTTATTAGACTAAGGGGTCGTTTATAAATTACGTAAGACATTTAGGGGGAGGGGATTCAGCCAGTTCTTACGAACAATAAAAAAATGGCGCTAATGCATGTAAATGATCTTACGGGGGGGTTAGGGGTGTCAAAAATATATCTTACGTAATCTGTAGACGGCACTTAATTTATGATTTATAATTTATATTTAAAGCACTGCAAAGACTGCTAAATTAATTTATTTTATTATTTAAAATGTCAACTTAACTGTAATACACACTACTTTTTTAAGTTGGCGACACGATAATTATGCGTACCCCAGTAAAAAGTGGGGAATTAAAAAGAATTGGAAATTTTTAAGTTTCAGCAGAAAAGGTTTAATTGTCAATTATTTTAAATTCCGTTTGTGTCCAATTCCTATGTATTCTTTTTTGAGGCTAATATTTCTCAAAAGTGAAATTCAATCAATTCCGTTTTAATGTTTCTATAATTTTCCAATTCCTTTGAATTTTTCACTTCTTACTGAGACATTATACATTACGGCTGATCGGTAATTGATATGAGACATTTAACAGACTATCTGGAATTAACCGCGTTATTCTTCTTTTGGTCCCTGGTCACAGTGGATTCATTAGTAATGATAAAGCAGATAAACTAGCCAAAGAAGGTGCTAAAGAATAATTTATTGGACCTGAGCCTTGTATTGGGAACCAATATAAATCCCAGGAGAAAAGCGGAATTCCGCAAACTTAATAGAAAAGAGGCGAAAATCATAATAGGGCTGCTGACCGGTCATTGTGCTTCACGTTATCATACTGCTGCCCTGATTTAAAAACACAATATCTACACTTTTTATCAAAAATGAGTTTTTTATACCGCTATGGATTCGAAAAAAAGACGAATTTTTCTATGCTAATTAAAATTATTGAACTTAATTAATTCTCGAATTATTTGGGTGTTAATTTTACTAAAGAGCACTATCTACATAAATTTCCGATGAATCCTGATGCTACAGGTTTATGAGGATTTCAGGCCGTCTGACAAGTAATTTCCTAATTGACAAAGCCTATCTACGTAGTTATGCTTTTTGAGATCACGAACTCGAGCTTTGTAGAGGCTTATTTCCTGATTTACTTGAGCTCAGTTCCATTGATTAAATACCATATTTACGTAGATATGCTATTTAGTATTCACTGCGATTTTGCACTTAATTAATTAGCACATCTAATGTTTATAATGAATGGATCAGGGTTCGTGGTGTATGAGAAATAAAAAAAGTTTACAAACACTACAAAATATAACGATTTAATAATAAACTCTAAAATATAATAATTACATGCGACAAATAAAATATAATAAACGATATAAAATAATAAAAACACGAACGCGAAATATTAAATGCAACGACTTTAAATGATAAGCGGAAAATATTTAATTAAACAATAAAAACGACGAAATAATACGAAAGTGCGGCGAATTACGGCAATACGGTTAATTTGCGGCAAACGACGGAATATTTAAATACGGACATGGACGCGACTACGTTCGGCAATTACAGATGCGTTTAAATAGAGAAAAGAACCATCTCTCTCTTCTTCGTTGCTACTCTTTTGTTGGTGATATTTCTTTACGTAATAATTAATTAATTAGTCCTGAAAAGGACTAATTATTGTTCGTTGATTCCTTTTATCGTCTCACGGCATCTTTGTCTTCTTCTTCGTAGTCAACTCGATGAGTAAAGCTCATCGAGTTGAACCGTTGTCTGGAATTAGACTCCAGGGAGTAAGGCTGAAGTCCCATGGCAGCGTTTTGCGTTTTGTAACTAGGCCATGAGTGTGAAAGAGATGAAGATATATGTTTGCTCTATTTGCACTCACGGGCTAGTTACAAAACGCAGCGCAAAACGCTGCCATGGGACTTCACCCTAAAGGTGGCTATACATTCCATGGTACGCGACGTGAACGTGTACGTTCCCCCATTTGATTAATCTTGTGACGTCACACGTTCACGTTTGCGTTCACCACAATGTATAGGCAGCTTAAGACTCCTTAACCGAGTGAAACCCGGGTGCGTAATGCGAATGCTCGCTCCGCGACCACTTCTTTTATACTGCCGCCACGCGAGCGAATAGCGCGTGATTGGTCGGTCACGAAGCGGTGGGGCGCTTGGAGACTCTACGCGGTGGGAGAGATCTCGCGAATTGCGCGGCACCCATACTAAACGCATTTTTCTTCGCGCATCTTTCGAGGTCAACGTTTCTCGTGTGTAAAATTGACAATATTAACGTCGACTGATATTCTTCGCTTATTTTCGTACATGGGTGATTCTCCGCGTAGCGCACAATTTAATGTCCCTCATGTTTTTTAAGCAATCAGTTTCATATATTCTAATAAATTCAACGTGGATAACTTATTTCCATGATAACAAATAAAAGTCTGTAGCCGTTTTCATTTAAAAGTTTATGATTTTACTTAAAAATCTGTTTTAAGGTGCCAAAACGTAATGGTCTAATCAGTCCCCACTACCATTTCATAAATAAAATGTTATTTTTTTAGTAAAATATAATAATAAATATAATGAATATTGCCATTTTCTTATTGTCTAAGTTAGTAGAATTGAGAAAAACAAAACACTTCTGGAAAAAAAATTTATTTTTTAATATTTTTGTAAAAATTTCTTGTCCCCCGTTTTCGCGTCGTGGTCTAATCACTTTGTAAAATTGAATAATTTGCATAAAGAATCAAATCGAAAAATTACTTAACATTAATAAAATGCATTAATAAACTCTCCTAAGTAAATTACTAAAAAATAAATTAATTAAAAATTTTTTTTTCTGTTTTATATGTGTTATAAGCATGAAAGTTGCATAGGGAATTACAGAATCGTCATGGTCTAATCATCACATATTTGCAATAAAATAAATAATTATTTATATTTTACCTCAAAACAAGTTTAGTAGTATAAAGTAAGTGAAAACAAAAGACGTGGAAAAAAAGAATTTTGGAAATCGATAATAATTTGTTTAAAAAATTAGTTTTTCTTGTGCGTCATGGTATAATCACAGCGTCATGGTTTAATCACTTTTTCATAGTAAGGCTTTTCTGTATTGAACTGTGTCACAGACGCACTTATAAGTGTAACGAAGATTTTAAGTTCAGGTAAATAATGAATAATCAAATTAATTTCTATAAATTACAGCATAAATTTCTATAAATTACCGCATAAATTTCCATATATTTCCACATATTTCCGAAATTTGTTTTCTTAATTACTAATTATGCAACAATTTACTGTTCATTGCCGCACAACTTTCGATAAAGAACTATGCTGAAAAATGGTCAAAATTTGCCCCTGAAGGGGATTGTAAAAGAAGCATATGTTTTTTCAGATTTTGACCTGCTTAATCCAAAAATCACCCTTAGAAAGTTCTGTATCTTGGGGAAAGGGTTGAAAAACCACCCTTAACTCACAGATACCATTTTCAATAAAAAACAGTAAAATGTGATAAAATTTTGTAAATAAGAAATGTTTACACTATCATTTATTAAAATAAGTAATAGCAACCGCATAATTTAAATCAAGATTACGACCCTTGCAGTATAAAAAACTACCCCCTCATACATTAACCCTTATGCCAAAACCCCAAAAAGGTATAAAACGTCAATATATTGATACATAACAAAGCAATAATTAACACAAGCCTACAAAATTTAGAATTTTGTCAGACCCACAAACGGGATAAGTCATTTCCGATGTAATTTGTCACCCTGAATCCAAAACTGGCAGCGAAATTGCTCTATCACGTCAGGATTCTGAGATATTCTAACCTAAAAGAGTAAAAAAGGCCATTTTTGGCAACATTCGACTCTCAATAAAATCCACAAAAATTTTTTTTATCATTCGAACAAATTTTAAAGGAAAGTACAATTATTCACCTTTCAAAATATGCTACACCCGATCCGATCCGACTTTTTTTCACTAAGGTACAACAATTTAAAGTTTAGGTTACACGACCTAAAAACTGAAAAAACTAAGAAAAGGATAATTGGAAAGGACTTTAACTTAAGCATCTGATTCTCAATATTTTGGGATCGTTGATTAGAAAACCGATGTCGGATTTTCAAAATTCAAAATTGCGGATCCAATATGGCGGCTGTCAAAATAAAAAATTGTTCGGATTCGCTTGAAACTTTTTACTCGGGGGTTTTTGAGGTCCCTAATTACGAATCTGATGTCAGATTTTTGAAATTCAAAATGGCGGATGTAATATGGCGACATATTTTTAAAAAATTTAACGGATTTGCTTGAAACTCTTCACTCGGGTGTTTTTAAGGTTGCTTATTACAAATCTGATGTCACATTTTCGAAATTTAAATTTACTGTGGATCTAATATGGTATTATATGTTAGTAAAATTGAAGAACGTAAAATTCGAACATTTAGGGCATAATTTATACACTCTTTTAGTAAAGAAAATTTAAAGTTTTATTTTTCTTTATGAACCTTTACACATTTTTCTTCAAAAGATTTTCGTATAGTTAGTTTCGTTTTTAGAATATAATACAGAATCACTTCTTTGCTTATATCTAGACCTGTAAATACATCTTTTCTCAATTTAGATATCTATGGGTGTGGAAATCTTTTTTTCAATTACGCCAAAGACTTCGAATTTCACGTTTTTCGATTTTACTAACATATAATACCATATTAGATCCACAATTATTTTAAATTTCGAAAATGTGACATCAGATTCGTAATTAGCGACCTTAAAAACCCCCGAGTAAAAAGTTTCAAGCGAATCCGATCAATTTTTTATTTTGACAGCCGCCATATTGGATCCGCCATTTTGAATTTT